TTTGTTTAATCAGCGCAAGTCCCATTATCGACTGTAGCCATTTGTAAGAAAGAAACCACTACGTACTTTGCAGTAATGAACCGTCCTACTAGTTTCTATGCATAAAAAGCATATTGTCGTGGTGGCAGTTACTTAGAGATAATTTGTTAATTTAATTGACTTCATCGTTTTGTCATAGAATAATTAAGACCGAGGTTTCAAATTTATTAATTGAAAATGTTGAATAATATATTTTAAATATTGCAGAACAATAATTGAAATACTGTAGTAAAATAACGTTTTAGAATTATTATTTATTAAAAAGACTTTTACAGAGAGAGAAATTTAATACTGTGGCCAATATTGAAAACAGCATTGAAATTAATTAATTAATTAATTTTATATATTAAAAGTATTGTTCAGTACTTTTAGTATTCCAAATAAGTAATTAATTACTGTCTTTCAGTAATAAATTGGTTAGTATCTATTAAATTGGTAGTATTAAATTTTTATGAGAGAAAACCTTTCATATTAATAAATTTCTAATTCACAATTTGAAAAAGCCAAATATCATCCATGCGTTTCAGTTTTATTCTTACGAAAATTCTTATTGCTGAAGGCAAACAATTCCTTATAATTGAAATAAATAATATAATAAAATAATATTAAAATGTATATAAATTAAAAAATTCATTAAGAAATTTCCTGAAAATGAATACCTTTGTCAAAACAATGTGACTTTTGTGTTTCAGTGAATCAGATCGAATAATAATTTACTATTCTTTTGATAAATAATGAAGCTAACAGTAGAATATAGTCGGTTTCGCAGGGCTGACTACAAACTAAGTTTACTCGTCATTACCGCACTAGTTATGCACTTAAAACAACGATGGTTTAATTCCGCACGCTTCCGCTGTTTCCGTTGTCGGAAATGATGCCTTTTACGTCTCGTTGTTCTCTCTCTCTCTCTCTCTCTCTCTCTCTCTCTCTCTCTCTCTCTCTTATTTCGTGGTACCTACTACGATTTTATTAGTCAACTTGACATTACTTTTGATAGTTAATAAAAGACTATGTTGTTGCATGCATATTTTTAGACGATCTCATGTTCGTTGTTCAACGAATAGAAAAGCATGAGTGATATAAGCGGTATGCAGATCACTCAATGTATTAATACATGGCCAGTTGAGGATGTACGTGTAATGCGAACTTGTAATAAACCATCGCAAGATTCAGAAACGCAGTCGAGGGATATGACCTACTAAAGAATAGACGTTCCCAGGGAGTACCATACACATGGGGCGTTACGATTTAGACGTCGACGTCTAAAATGAGGCGCATGCTGTGCCGGAATTTTGCAGTTCCATCGCATCGTATCCGCCCCCGCGGACCACTCTCCCTTCATGCGGGATCGCATCTGCGGATGCAATAAGTTGCGTTACTTCCTCTCGTATTTCTCCCTGGCTACTGCTGCGCCCGGCGCGGCGCCGTAACATCATGCATTATCATGGTAAGAACCAGGTCCAGCTGCATCCCGTTGGAACCATTTTGACGCGTGCGAATTGAAGTCTCTCGTGTACCATCGGGAATCGATTTGTTCCGGACATTCGATACAACGTTATAAAAAGATTTTTCTTATCATTCCCAATGAAAGATGTGGATTGTTATCTTCATACTGTGATAAATGACGCGGAATATTGGAAATGGACTTGCAAAATATAATTGAACACTCACAGAAAGGCTGAAGTATTTAAAAGTTTGGTTAGATGTAGATCTGTAAATAATTTTGTTGGACCATCAAAATAATTATGCAAAACACTTAGCTAATTGCTTATAGAAAAACTTTCTGCAGTATTTTTGGTCAAAGCTTGAGCGTCCTATATAGTTATTTTGATAACCCAAAATTGTTTTCAAAATTTTCAGATATTTCAGCAAAATTTTTTGCGGGTATCCTTTGACATCAGAACCCATAAAATTATGACTTGCTGGCCTGATATTGAACATATTGTCATATATTAAAATCTGCACTATTATAATATTGTTTTCTTGCTTTAAAACTGATAACAAAAAAATAAGTTTTTCAAGAAAGGAGGATGACTATCAATTTAACAGAAAATTATTAACTAGTCAAATAATGTAAATAAAAAGAATGTACTCTAAAGCGTGATCTACAATAAGTTGTAAACATTTCGTTGCTAGTCGCAATGCTTCGCAACAACCAATCAAAAACGTCAATAGTAACTAGTGATGCTTCTGATTGGCTGTCATGAAGCATTGCGACTAGCGACGGTGTCTTGGCAACTTATTGTAGACCACGCTTTAGAAATACGATTAAATGTCATAAATGTTATTTTTGTTCACAGCCCTTAAAAATACATTTTTTTTAGTCGTAATAATTTTGATATGCTACAAAATTATGACAAATCCGGAATAATTCATCAAAAGTGACATAACTCGAAATATTATCAACAATTTATATTTACTTAATCAGCTGAAATGAACTAAATTCGAACTAAAACAATTTTTCAAATTTTGATTACCAAAGTGGTCTTAATTCTAATGTTTTTTTTTTTGTAGAAAACTTCCATTTACATAAAAAAAGACAACTGAAAATGTGTCGCTCTTATAGAAGGTATATATTATGATATCTTTGACAGTCTTAAGAACGACAAGTAAAGTATTATTATAGCTATTTGGCGGACGGACTGTGAAGTTAAGTTAGTGTAGTTTTGATTGATACAGTAATCTTTATAAATTAGCATGTTGCAATAATAATACACAGAATTTTACGATAATGGTTGCATAAAAATTTATTACGAAATTTAATTGAAATATCCTGTTATCGTGAAAGATGTTACCATGGTAGATATACATTTAGTATCTACCATTGCTAAAAAAATGCTAACATCTTTAACGATAACATTATTTGACTGGTGCTCTGATGACATTTTCGTTGGACAAATGACCCCGGTATATTCTAAGATTTGTATTTCTGTCTTATATGCAACCGCCAGGATCTTCGCACCGTAAATTAACTACCAACGCCTTGCGGCTAAAAGCGTTTGTTTTCGTTGCGGTTTTCATACACGGTGTATTCACGAAAATGTACATTAAAGCGCGCTAAAGTTTCGTTCTAAATTTGTACGAGACGATAAATCCGTGTTAACATAAGCAAGAGAATGTAATATATAGTGTGCAAGTTGCAGCACGCCATTCACAGTATTTCCGTTTTCATTTGCGCTCAATGAACTGTGAGATATATAAAGAATAATAAAATAAATGGAACTGACGTCTTCACGGTTTATAATTCGACTTCGGTCGTATTCGTGAAATTTTTGCTTTACGATTTGTTGGATTTGAGCGTGGAACTCATGAAAGTATAATGCGGAGATTATAATTCATAATGCATCAATAAGAATACAATTTTAACCTTGCTTTTTAATATTTTAACATCAAATCGAAATATTTAAAAAATCTATTATGTATATGCGCGAATTGTATAAAATATATATACCTTCAAAAATTTTTTATATCTTCATTCGTGTTGTATTTTTATTAATAAAAAAAGATATTTCATATATCTTACCAAATTTTCTTTGGATAAATATGGCACAATTAATAATATGAAACAAAACAGTCAAAACAGAAAATTTAAATATTTAGTTTAAAAATTCTGACAATAATATTCTCTAACATTCACATATATTTATTGCGCTATTAATTTACGCAGAGTTTTTTCTCTCTTTTCTCATTAACTGTTATCAGAAATCAGTTGATATATCAATTATTTTTGAGTAGTGATAAAGATGGAAGATAATATGACTGTCGATATCTGCAGTTTTTTCTTATTCCCGTTTATCTTCTTTCTTCCTTCTTTATCTTTGCTTCTTATTCTAGCTATTAACCGTTATCGAGACGATTCTTATCACATGAGAGAGGAACTCATTAGCGCACGAAGACCATAAATCGTGAATGGGAAACAACGGAGTTCCGTTCGGCTTCCACGAATACGAGAGGAGTTGCCTAACATAAGTCCTTTATCGGAAGCATCTCGATAGTTATCAAAGGTCGTTTGATATCATTCACATTCTCCATTAATATCCTTAGCGTTATTACATACATAAGTAGTAATATAATTATACGTAAATAGAAAATTGTTAGAGAATATTTGATTAAACCATTCGAGCAAAACTACATTTATTTTTATAGATAACTAAATGTGTTAAAAAAAAATGGGAATACACATATCGCAAAAAACTTTTTATAATTATGTATACCAATAAATTAGAAAGATTATTATTGACACTTTACACTGTTAAATATTAAATGATCAAATTTAAACCAATTCTTTAAGTTAAATGACACTTTATTATTTTTAAATTCCAAATGTGTGTTGTGTGTGTTAAAATGTATTATATTATATATATTATAATACAAAACATATGATTAAAACTCACATCTAATCAACCCACTTCTGTGGTGGAATTGCTTACAATTAATTTCACCATTCTATTAACGTATGTACTCAGTAAATAATAAACTTTTGAGTCAAATTTAATTTTTAATAACATTTTTTAGTTATTATAAATTTTATTTAATTTCATTCTTTTAGTTAAATTAATGATATATTGAGTGACGATCTTTAGGAATGATAAAAATAACTCAATTTAGGTATAATTTGACATAATGAATTTAACAGTAATGCATTGTTGTTGGAAATTCTTATCGTAATTGTAGTAATTTTAAAAAACATTTAATGAACATTTTATACGTATATTTGTAAGTTTTAAAACGATTCGTCTATCTTAGTCTTATTATTGGCTCGAGCAATGCGAGAAAGAACGATCATTTATCACGATAATTTGTTTAACGTGTCAATTGATTATCGACTCAAGTCGACTAAACGCGGGATTTCCTAAGAGCGTTTCTGAAAGCGAGGGATTTAAGCTGCACGATGCGCTCGCTTTTTCGCAATACCGTTGCATTTTTCCGGCGAGCGGATGTTGAAGAGGAGCATCGCTTACCGATCGGCTGTATCAGGTAGCGCAGCGATGCCAGCAACGGCAGGATCAATAGAAACGGGGCCATGACGGCTTCGATTCAGACGTCCATCTCGCGTTCATTCACGAGGCCGGTCTGTAACAGAAAAAAGCACACGCAACCATATTAATAGCCCACCGCAATTTTCCCCAGCAATGAATACATCGCAATGGGCTCTTCACATACACACACACACACATACACATGTCATGGAAACGCGTTCACTATTTCGATAATCGATCAAGTATCGTCCCGGATGGACGAATCAATTCATTCCCTCCTATTTCGCATCAAGTAAGCATCTGTCTTTCATCCTTTATCTTTTTTCCTATCAAAAGTATTTATTGTGTTTTCGTTGTGCTGTTTTGCGGACACAAAAAGCTCCTTATCTTGTTATAAATACACGATAGTTCACCTTATTAAAGGTAATCGTGTATTTATAACAAGATTCAAACTGATAGCAATATACCTCTTCAAATTTTTGTTATCCTGTTTTGCTACGATTGAAATATTTAATAATAATAAAATATTTAATAATAATATTAAAGTAAAATGTATTGTATATATTAGATTATATTAGAAACTTAAACAAAATATACTATATACATAAAATATTCAATTATTTTCATTTGCTTTATTATTATATATTTCAGTAAAATTATTATTATATAATATGTTAAATTTTTTAACTATAAATTCATATTTCCTCTAGATTTTATGATGCAAATTATCGGTATGATAACAATTTAATCCTATTAAAAATCTACAATTAAGTTTCATATCAAATATTTATATGTAATATTTATATGTAATAATTGAATATTTGTGGAAGTTTTATTTATGAATTTGATATCCATCAAATTTTTACAATTTAAAATTAATTAAACAGTTCACAATTGAGCATGCAAACATTATGCATATGTTGATGTTATTGGTTTTTCTCGTGACTGTGTTTCTCTTGCAATCCATAGTTGCTCTGACCTATTGCTTTTTATTCCGGCAGCAATATTTGCCGAGAAGGCATTTGCGCGCGATAAACTTTTCCAACTATGCAAACTCTCGTAAAACCAGCGGTTTTTAATGGTAACTCGTTGGCAATAGCCATCGAGATGGAGAACAAGATGAGAGTTTACTCGCAATGTACTTGACTGCGCCGCATTTGAAGCGGCAGGGCTTTCTAATGTGGATCATGTTCACTCATTATTAGCTCAAAGGAGACGAGAGCCACTATGGAAGAGAGAACAAAAGCCAAATGATGAGAATAATGGAGGCAAAGAGCTTTCTAACAAGCTACGTCGTATTCATGCCTTTGTCGGATCTATGGTTGATACACATCACTGCGGCATCAATGGGAATTACACAACGAGTGATGGAATCAAGTTGTTATTATACTAATAATTTTGATTCAATTCACTCGCCACATTTATTCGGTTCGAACTAGTCACATTGGTCTGAATAGAAGTAGTTTCCAAATTTACTTAGTTTCCAAATTTTACATCGATATGTGCATAACAGAGCGATAGATAACCGAAATCTAATATGTCCAAAGCACCGATAACACTATCAAATGAATCAAAGTAATAAGGTAATAATAATGAAAATCTATGAGTCAGCATTATTGATGTATGTTGATTTGCATAAGTGAACAATTAAATGTACAAAATCATTGACAAATAAAAAACTTTCAGGACGACTTTTTTTGATTAAATATTAAATACAGAGAATATCCACTATTTATTAGCTTAATATAAATTTTCGAAATTAATAGAATTAGTAGAATGCAAAAATGTTTATTAATATTTTTAGTTTTTCTCTCCTTTTCTTATTACAATAAAAAATGAATGATAAGAAATGTACCAACTCTCTATTTATTATGTTATGTCATAAGAATTTCTTAAGTTCACCGTACAGAACATTGTCGAAAATATCCATTGTTATTAATACAAAAATGGATTGACGCAAAGTATTGAATTTATAACAAAATTTATTTTTTAAATATTTTGATCGATCTAATATTTCTGAATATATCTTGTAGTATCGTGCGGAGCAATCAGTAACTACGACCGTTGGTCGTAGAATGTCACTCTGCTAACAGATATACGACAAATGCGTTTCCGTGTCCTGGACATTGATCGACATCGACGACGTATCGACAATGTTAATCTGTCTCGTTGAAGAGTTGCTCCCACACCCGCCATCCGTTCCCATGTTATACTTGCATCAGCTACGGTACGGGAAGTAACTTCCGTGTACACCGATGAAAAGGATGTTCATGCTACTAGTCAATTTTTTTTAGCGAAGTTTGCATCCGTGGATAGTAAGTGAGTTAACTCAAGTTTGTACGTACATACATCCATGAGCTAATACGATATATAGGATTGTTATTGGATGAACGATCGAGAATGAGGTAAATCTGACATTATTTTATTAAAAATAACTCAAATTGCGCAGGATATAATTTAATAGTGGACGTTATAAATTTAATAGTGTGTATAGAGCTGAATTTTTCGCTATTTTATCAGGATCTTTTTTTTCCATAAAATCGAGTTACCGTCGATGACCTATCTCGAATTACGTAAGCCGCAAACGAGAACCGTATCGATTGGATTGATTCGAGCGTCAAGCAGCTTTACGCGGACGAGAGGCATTGCATTAACCAGATGGACGGGAACGCATTTCATGCAAGAGAAGGGATGGGAATGGGAAATGGAAAGCTGCGTGTATGATGCCCCGGAAAAAGTGCAGTTACGTCGCGTTATATGTACTCGGTAAATCGAGCCACGAAGTGACGCGTGTTATAAATCCTTTCGCTTCATATTTCACGCGCGATGACGCGCACGCTCGGCATTATTTCCACGATATTTTTGCCAATCTTGACTACTGCTCTTCTTCGTCCGATCTTCATCGGGCCATTGCCCTTGAGCCTCCTTTTGGAAAACCGCCCTTTTGTTCTCGTTCCGAATGTATCCGCGATGATAAACGGTTAGCTTCACCGAGTCGTTTGAGGATGGTTTAGGAATTATTAGCTTTGTACACTCTCTGCATAGCACGAAGAAAGAAAGAGATTGATGCCGTTTCCCGTCGTAGCGTTTTCTTGGAGTTAACTCTATCTTCTCGCTTAATTCCTCGAGATTTTATATAATCAACAAACATTTATTTGCATCCCTTCTTTAGTTGGATTTTTCTTTCGCAACTCTTCTGCGAGAAGAAATTAATTGACATTATCGTGGTAATAAGCTGAACCTATTATTGATTAATAGCATTGATTTGCAGTGTTAGGATAATTATCTCTGACAATGAGTTAATTAATGTTTGATGCATATAATTACAAATTTTTATTGTAGTTAATTAATATCTCATGTTTTAATCTAGTGAAGTGAAATTAGCCGATAGTGACCTAATATCTACATAGGATGGAATAATTGAACATTCAGTTGAAATGTTTATGTATGTTTAGGAAGTTATCGTCAAATAATCGAATGAATTATAGAAAGTTAATTTTTTCAAAAGTTGAGGGGCCAACTATATATAATAAAACAAAAATTCTTTAATTGTCCGTAAAACAATGTCTAGTAAAATGATGTCACATACAAAGTGCAAGATTCTAGAAGAAAGCTTGAGGAAATTCATAATACATAATATAATACCTAATATTTTTTTATTTTTGTCTAATTTATTATAAACTTAGTATTATAATAAATTACACTGAAAAATTGAACGTACAAATCAATAATTTCTAACCATATCAATTCGAATTCCAGTTTAAATAATTAGACGTTCAATTATGATGGCTGAAATTCTGATTAATATTATCAGAATTTACTTCATTTATTTTCAACCAGAAATTGTCAATGTAAACAAAAATTAGGCATAATGACACGTTAATCAAAGCTTAAGATTCACGAGTAGCTCCAAGACGTTAGCAATCTGCGGAGCAATAATGTCGTAGAATTGTGGCATGAGATTGAGCGGTATAATTTCTTCAGAAAGATGAAGCTATTTCCTTCCGGCGTAATTCTTTATGAAACTTTGGGAGCGGAAGTGAGAATGCGAATACTTGTATGGCACTCGGAAAATTCGCGAGAAAATTTGCTAATATCGATCAGCAGATGCCGAGAAGATGCCGTGTTAATAATTCGCCAGCGGGCAATGATGAATGTAAATCGCGCGGTGACATCGCATGAATATTCGCTGACGCGATTTACAAACTGCCAGATAAGATATTTGTCTTTTGTACCATACACAAAACGATTTAGAAGTGACGTGCCGGGAATTGCATTTTCTTACTGTATTGTGAACACGAATGGATTGACGTCGAGCGAAGAGATATTAAAGTATTAAAAATAAAAATATTAAAGATGTTTCTCGTTGTGCATTGTTTAATACGTTCAATATTAATTAACAATATTATTATTAACGAGTCTTATTTATTCAATTATGCATTGAAAAAAATTATAAAATTCAATAACACTATTAATGAAACAAGTAAGTACATCACGTTTTTAAAATTTTACAATATGTAAAAATTTTTTTAAGATGTAAAAATTACTTAATAATTTTTTTATATACTTGAAAATAATAAAAATTAAACCAAAGAGTTATACAAACGATCCATCATATGTAAAAAAAAATTATCGTGTGTACTTAATTATATTTAGCCAATTAAATAAAACGCCTCAATTACGAATCTGTTAAAAAGAAATATATCTTTCTACAAATTTATATCTTCGTCAAGCGTTGGTCTTTTCTTCTAATTGTCACGTGCATTAGAACATGAAACGCTTCGAACAACTAAGCTTTTATTGAACGACTGTGTGCCAATTACTTCGTCGACACCGTGTCTGCGGGAAAGAAAGAATCCGTTTATATTTCACGTTTCTACTAACTGGCACATACACCTTGAACTAATTTATCAGCAAGGCGTGTCTCTTGATTCTCTGGCAATCGCAATACAGAGACCCGGGTGTTGTCCTCCACGAAAATCGATGAGATTTACGTCCATTCACCAGAACGTTTCTGTACGTAATCGTGTAATAAAACGCGACCGAAGCACCGTCGCGCGACAGGCATTGTTTCCACGACG